CTCTAGGAGGTAAGATAGAAAAATACTGAGTTTAGGGAATATAGCTCAATGGCATAAGTACCTGCCTGGCAAGCACAAGGTCCTAAGATCGATTCCCAGTTCCAAAAAAAAAATAAAAAGAATAAAAAATGCATAAAGAAAAATACTGAGTTTAAATTTTTAAAAATTTATTGGAGTAAAAAGCACATGGCCATTAATCTCCCTCAAAATACTTTCTTTCATTTCAAATACATTTATCACACTGTTCTTGCCACTTTCTGAAGTAGTTCCGCAAGTCCTTTCCCATGAGCATCGTTAGCTGCCCCGAGGTGGCTGCCCTGATGTCTAGAATCAATTTAAAACATTTCGCTTTCATGGTCATTTTGACTTTGGGGAAGAGACAGAAATTCCACGGTGCCAGATCGCGTGAGTAAGGTGGAAGGGGACACACTGCGATGTTTCTGGGAGCTGCCTCTCCGTGAGATGGCACTCAGCAATAGCATTCTCCATATTTCGATCACACCTCATAAAGACATTCATGAAAGAGGACTTCCAGAACTGCTTCAGAAAGTGGCAAGGATGACGAGGGGAGTGTCTCGTGAGGGCTGGAATGAGGGGGCGGGCGGTTCAGATCACCCAGCATTGCCCACATTTCCGGCCCCTGTCCCTCTCAGTCTGGCATCTCAGATCTCGCCCTGTGTTAGCCTCTCCTGTTGCATCTCACCCAGCCGAGAGAGGTGTCCTGACTCCTTCCTGAAGCAAAGGAAGAAAGGAGGTTCTCAAAGCGCAAGTCCAAGACCATGAGAAGCTGTGGACACTGACCCCTGGAGGGCTCACTCGCACAGTCAGTATTAGAGACAGCTGAGTTAGGCAGAAAAGTTATAGGCAGTCAGCCAGGGCTGGGCCCTCAAGAGAGTCAATACAAAAGATGAAAACACATCACAACCACGGCCAGAGGCGCATCTGCTGGAGGACAGGTCTCAGGATTATGACCAGGCCTGCATGGCTCCCCAAGGGCTAAGCGGTAACACCTTCTCCAATGAAGTCTAGATAGACATCAGTCACCTCAGCCGGTGACCAAGACCCTCAGACCCACCCCTTCCTGAAAAGTTCTTTGTTCTCTCCATGTACATTTGCTGTGTGGCCTGCTTCCCCACTGGATTATTGTTACCTAAGTGGCTGCACTTATAATCTTATTGGCTGATCATAATTTTGACCTGCACTGTATCCACCTCATGATTTTGGTCTATAAAATTCCTTTGAGAAGTGTGCTCCTTGGCAACCCGCTTTCCAGGCCACTCCTGTCTTCTTTAGGCAGGAGCTGTCTCTCCTTCAATAAAACGTCCTACTCTTAACCTCCCTTGTTCCTCAGAATGCATTCTTTGATTTTGGGGAACCCGAACTCGGTGTATTGGACATCTAGCAGGTTGGGAGTTACAATATTTCCCTTATGTCACGGGGAGGTCTTGTCTCATCAAGAGCTGGGAGAGCCCGGGCCAAAGCAGGAGAAACACAGGCCCAACAACGGCGGAATGACAGTGATCCCCAAAAGCCATCCACATCAGCTCCCAGGCAGCCCATCCAGGAGGCCGAGTGGAAGATCACACAGTGGCTGTTCACTGCAACTGCAGGCGCTGGCACAAGAGCCTCAGAAGCCCAAGAAGCCATACACGTCCAACCCCAAACCAGTGAGAGTAACTCCGAGAGAACGACCTATTGAATTACGACTGGTTCGGCAGACAGACACGGTGAGAAGAGACCTCCTTTCTTCTTGGCCCCTGTCCCATCTGGGTACCGTCCTCCTGGGATCTGCGCCACCTTAAATCTGCCTTTGAGCACTGATTCCTATTTCAGCTGGGAGCTCTGGTTGGCTTTCCTCTGTGAGGAAGCCTTCACTTTTTCCTCCCTGGAGTTCTAGATTCGACTGTCTTACTGGAACTGGGTCGCTTTGGGCTGGAAGGACCTGTGGGCATTCTTGTTTCTCAGAAGTTCTCACGTCCGCATCACAACTGTTTCCCTGGAGACCACGGCTCCACTTCTAGCAGATGCTACCTGGCCGGTTCAGTGTGTCTCATGGTCTGCTGTTTAGTGCCTTTGTTCCTTCCCCTGCCCAACTCAGGTGAGACTTGCCCAGTGGTGACTCTGTCCTCTCTTGGTACTTTAGATGTGGAGAGAAGGCGTGGCTGGGTGGACCTGGGATCTTTGTCAATTTGGAGGCAACTGGAGCCTGGCTCCATCCTGGGAAGAAAATGGCTCCCACAGGGGCTATTCCTTACCTCAGGTTCTTCCTTAGTCAAGACCCTTATTCTTGCTTTTTGTATCTGTCCTAACTAAGGAAAGTTGTGCTTTTCTTTCTTCAATTAAACAAAACACAATTTTGGCTATCTTTTTTTTTATTTTTTTATTTTTGGAGACAGGGTCTCTACGTAATTCAGGCGGGCCTTGAACTCAGCAATCCTCTTGCCTCAGCCTCGAGTGCTGCAATTACAAGTGTGCACCACCACGCCCAGCCAGGCTATTTTCATTATTACAAAAACATCAGAAACATAGATAAATGGAAGAAATACAGAAGAAAAACAGTATCCTCCAAATCTTACCCCAAAGACAAGATAACCATTGATTCATACAGTTACATAGTATCATATACACACAATATATATTTATATATTTAAATGTAACTATAATGCCACAATACCATTTATATTCTTTGATAACATCTGTTGTCATTTAATGTCTTATGAATATGTTGCTATAGCAACAATCTCAGTTCTACTGAAATTGTAAGAGTACTCAATTACATACACGAAGCTCATTTACTTACCTCAACTCATACGTCTAGGTCGTTCCCTACTTTTCTATATGGTAAGCTGCATTAATGAACATGGTTTTTGTTTTTAAAAAATGTGTGTTTTTCCAGGCATGGTGATACATACTTATAATCCCAGCACATGGGAGACTGAGGCAAGACGATCACTGTGAATTTGAGGCCAACTTGGGCTACATAGTGAGACCCCCCCTCTCAAAAAACAAAACATAACAAAAAAAAAT